TAGGTAGATAGATCTCATTGAGTAGAAGTGCAGTGCAAATGAACCATAACTCTGTCTTGCCTAATTTTCGAGTTATTGCTATTGTTCATTTTTACTTTTTGAACTTTGTCCGAGACATAACTCTAAAACTATAAGAGATATCAACATGAATTTTTGTAGGTAGATAGATCTCATTGAGTAGAAGTGCTGTGCAAAAGAACTATAACTCTGTCTTGCCTATTTTTGGAGTTATATATATCCGGGGAGCTTTGCCCAGTTCATGTTATAATTTAAAAACACAGATTTTGCACTAGATAATAGGTCTTATGTTGCCATGGAATTGACATCAATCAATAAAGATAGTGTTTATTTTGTCTCTCAAAATTTTTGGGAGACATTTTGTTTTTGCAGTCTGTCGTCCGCATTAAGCTTGTCCGCCCTTCACAGGTCAAACTACTGGTGGGATTTCAACCAAACTTTACGGAGTGATCAGTACCATCCCTTGTTGTGCACATCACCGGCATGTTCTGCTTCGCTGCTCAAAATGACCAGAGCTAAAAATAGAAAAATCTTGTCCCGCATTCACAGGTCAAACTACTGGTGGGATTTCAATCAAACTTTACAGGAGTGATTAGTACCATCACTAGTTGTGCACATCACCGGCAGGTTTTGCTTCACTGCACAAAATTGCTGCCAGAGCTAAAAATAGAAAAAACTTGTCCGGTCTTCACAGGTCAAAGTACTGGTGGGATTTCAACCAAACTTTATAGGAGTGATCAGAACAATCCTAGTTGTGCACATCACCTGCACGTTCAGCTTTGCTGCATAGAATGGCCGCCAGAGCTAAAAATAGAAAATTATTGTCCTGCCTTCACAGGTCAAACTACTAATGAAACTTCAACCAAGCTTAATAGGAGTGATCAGTACCATCCCTAGTTGTGCACATCACGGTTCTGCTTTGCTGCAGAAAATAGCTGCCAGAGCTAAAAATAGAAAAATCTTGTCTGGCCTTCACAGGTTGGATTTCAATGAAACTTCACATGAGTGACCATACATAGTTTTGGGAGACATATTATGTTTTGTGACAAAAACCCTTCTAGTATTTGTGCTATTTTATGGGTAAAAAAATTAATAATTTTTCTTAAAATCATGAAAATACCGTTTAAATACTAAAGAACTATAAATCTTATGCCAGGTGGCTGGTGTTTGTAGTCCCCTACTGGTTTAACTGGAGGGGACTTTAGGTTTATTGTTCGTCCATCTGTCCATCCACAAAACTGGATCCCGTGATAATGCAAAAAGTACTGAAACTTGACATATGGATAGATGGCAGTCTGGAGATTATGCAAGTCTTTTATCTTTTTTTTTTCCTATATTGAAAAATTCGGTTGTTATGGCAACAAATAGGCTTAAATGTATGAAAATTATAACAATATATTAAATTATATTAATATATCAAAAAGTATTGAAAACATTTTTATGAAACTTAAAATATGGATAGATGATAGTATGGAGATTATACACATCATTTTAATCTTGACTATAGGGAGTATATTGAGAGTTGTCCTACTCACTAAGCATTGGTGACCTTGTCAAGATGTCTGATTAAAGTTTTTACGCTTTTTCACTATCAGTTCTTTAGTAATAAAAGAGTAAAAAGTGTTATGATATTATATGAAATAACTAGTATTATGAAATATAACTAGTTTCCACACGAAATAATAAGAATTGCATATTGCTTTAATACAGAAGTAATGAACATAATTATAGTCGCTAAGCTGATAAAAGAATGCAATAAAAAAAGATATACATACAAATGTGCAGAAAAAAGTGGTAAATGAAATTCAGAAATAATATTCAAATATGTTAAGAATATTTAAAAACAAACTGTTCAAGATACAAAAACATTTATTTTTGCTTAGCATTTTAAAGTTTGTGCAGTACATTAATCTTATTAAAATGATATGCTTATTCATATAGGTTTATAAATTAGAAAATGAACCCTTATGTGACAAACTTTAAAACTATTTTGGAAGCAAAAATGGTACTTAAAATAAAAAAATATTTGCGTATTAGTAACTGCAGTCTAAAACTCGAAACACCATAATATAACTATTATGATGCTCGGATTTAAGTGTACTTACTTACCCCCTTTTTATGCCCCCACAATGTGGGAGCATATAGCGTTGCACTTGTCCGTCCGTCAGTCCGACCGTCCGTCAGTCCGTCCGTCCGTCAGTCCGTCCGTACGTCCCGAAATCTTGTGAACGCAACTCCTCTTAAACCGGATGGCAGATTTTGCTTAAACTTACAGGGATGAACAACCTTAATGTGTAGATGGTAGTAAGGGAAGGAATTTTTGCTGCGACCAAATTTAACAGAATTATGGCCCTTTGTTGATTTTTTCACTAGATACTATGTAGAAATTTTGTGAACGCAACTCCTCTTAAACCGGATGGCAGATTTTGCTTAAACTTACAGGGATGAACAACCTTAATGTGTAGATGGGAGTAAAGGAAGGAGTTTTTGCTGCGACCAAATTAAACAGAATTATGGCCCTTTGTTGATTTTTTCACTGTATACTATGTAGAAATTTTATGAACGCAACTCCTCTTAAACAGGATGGCAGATTTTGCTTAAACTTACAGGGATGAACAACCTTAATGTGTTGATGGTAGTAAAGGAAGGAATTTTTGCTGCGACCAAATTAAAAGAATTATGGCCCTTTGTTGATTTTTTTCACTATATACTATGTAGAAATTTTGTGAATGCAACTCCTCTTAAACCGGATGGCAGATTTTGCTTAAACTTCCAGGGATGAACAACCTTAATGTGTAGATGGCAGTAAAGGAAGGAATTTTTGCTGCAACCAAATTTAACAGAATTATGGCCCTTTGTTGATTTTTATGCCCCCACAATGTGGGAGCATATAGCGTTGCACTTGTCCATCAGTCCGTCCGCATGTCCCGAAATCTTGTGAACGCAACTCCTCTTAAACCGGATGGCAGATTTTGCTTAAACTTACAGGGATGAAACAACTTTAATGTGTAGATGGTAGTAAAGGAAGGAATTTTTGCTGCGACCAAATTTAACAGAATTATGGCCCTTTGTTGATTTTTTCACTAGATACTATGTAGAAATTTTGTGAACGCAACTCCTCTTAAACCGGATGGCATATTTTGCTTAAACTTACAGGGATGAACAACCTTAAGGTGTAGATGGTAGTAAAGGAAGGAATTTTTGCTGCGACCAAATTTTACAGAATTATGGCCCTTTGTTGATTTTTTCACTTTATACTATGTAGAAATTTTGTGAACGCAACTCCTCTTAAACCGGATGGCAGATTTTGCTTAAACTTCCAGGGATGAACAACCTTAATGTGTAGATGGTAGTAAAGGAAGGAATTTTTGCTGCGACCAAATTTAACAGAATTATGGCCCTTTGTTGATTTTTTCACTATATACTATGTAGAAATTTTGTGAACGCAACTCCTCTTAAACCGGATGGCAGATTTTGCTTAAACTTACAGAGATGAACAACCTTAATGTGTAGATGGTAGTAAAGGTTGGAATTTTTGCTGCAACCAAATTTAACAGAATTATGGCCCTTTGTTGATTTTTTCACTATATACTATGTAGAAATTTTGTGAACGCAACTCCTCTTAAACCGGTTGGCAGATTTTGCTTAAACTTCCAGGGATTAACAACCTTAATGTGTAGATGGTAGTAAAGGAAGGAACCAAATTTAACAGAATTATGGCCCTTTGTTGATTTTTAGTTTTCAACTTGTGGCACATGTAGTCCAAAAAATATTTGACCTAGAGTCATAAGATTGACAGAACAGTGGCTCGTGGGGGCATCCGTGTCCTATGGACACATTTCTAGTTTATAACAGTATAGCATAGGGGCCCTCAAAATATTCTTCCAAAAGAGTTCCACTACATTTTACCTCTGTATAGCAACACCTCTAGGCAACAAAGGGTATTGCTCTGTAGAGGTTATACTGTATATTTCAATAAAATACAAAATGTTATTGTTGAAAAACTTGCACAACCAATGTTACCACTGAATACAAATAATGTATAATGTTGACGTTATCGTGTTTAATTTTTAGCTCACCTGAGCCAGCTCAGGGTGAGCTTTTATTATCATTGAATGTCTGTCAGATGTCGTCTGTTGTCCGTCGTCCTTCCACATTGGTTCGTTAACACTCACATAGTGGTCACATTTTTGCCTCAATCATCATCAAACTTTGTCAGGATGCTTGTCTAGAAAATTGCTCGGATGAGTTCAAACATGGGTCATCTCGGATGAAAAACTAGGTCACAGGAGCTTAAAATTAAAAAAATCTTGTTAACACTCTAGTGGCCAAATATCCTGGAAATTGGTCTGAAAGTTTGTTTTGATGATTTTTAGGTCCAAGTTCGAATATGGGTCAACTGGGGTAAAAAACTTTTATTGCCTACAACCATAACTCTATGACTATATCAATTCTTTTACAAGGTATTCTGTTGCTAGTAACTTCCTCATTTCCTAAGCAGTCTTGCTGGGGTATTAATCACATTTAGTGATAGCTCTAGATAGTTTACATTGTTTTCTTTAGAAAAAGAAAAATAAGTTTCTCAATGATCAACAAGACAAAATGGCAGAGCGCCTGATTGGACAAAAAAATAACTAATATACAGTTGCTTGTCCTATTATATAATGTCCCAGCATCTATGTTAGTTATTATTCATATTTATTTTACCCCTTATGCTGTTGAATTTTTGTATTGGATTAGTGCTGCTTAATGATTTTAAAACAGTCAGTTTGAAAATGACAGGCAAAATTTGAGCTGCCACCAATATAGAGCGTCATGAGACTACACAGATTTGAAGGCCATCCTGGCTCTTGACTGATGGTAAAAAGTTAATCATGTTTGGTTCCAGCAGGTAGAGGGCTAGATAAACAAACAAGAATTTTCAATAAAATGCTTGAAATTTAAGTATATTTATTGATATATTAAAATGTTTTTATTAACAGATTCGTTTCGTAGACAACACATCAGGTCGCGAGCACAAGAGAATGACGAAAGGGGAAAGCAATGATGATGAACTTCCAGTTATAACTGGTCACGCTGGCTCAATACGATGTGTACATATTATAGAGAAACAAGGCTTAGTTCTCAGTGGCAGCTACGATACCAGTATTAGGTAATGTTGGGTTTAACTCTAAACCTGCTGAATTTCTTAACCCATTACTTCATGAGCATTTTTAGCTCACCTGTCACAAAGTGACAGGGTGAGCTTTTGTGATCGCTTTTCGTCCACCAAGTTTGTTCAAATAAAAGCCCTGGGGTCAAAATTGGCCCTGCCCCGGGGGTCATTGATTTTGCCTATATGCATATAGTAAAAACTTAAAAAATCTTCTTTTAAAGAACTCAAAGAGCTAGAGCTAAGATATTTAGCATGAAACATGTTCTAATGGGTGTCTACCAAGTTTGCTCAAATAAAAGCCCTGGGGTCAAAATTGGCCCTGCCCCGGGGGTCATTGATTTTCCTTATATGTGTATAGCAAAAACTTAAAAAATCTTCTTTGAAAAAACCTAAATAGCTAGAGTTTAGATATTAAGCATGAAACATCTTCTAGGGAATGTCTACAAAGTTTGTTCAAATAAAAGCCCTTGTAACTTTCATGTTGTAGCCATTCTCGCGAGATGCGCATGAAAAAAGTTTGGCTGGCTCGAACATTTACAGAGTTATAATAATTTGGCAAGGATGATATCTGGATATATTTCATCGTTTTGCTACATTTAAATATTATTTCCTCTATTACTGACTCGGGTGATTTGGTAATAACTGATTATTTTTGTATTAAAGTTGAATTGTTTTGGGTTTTCACAACTTCCGGGATTGAGCCAAAGAAAATCAATAGGGTCATCATAAAAAGTGGAATACGATAGGGCACTATCCCCATAAACCTTGTCTTAGTCTGATTTAATATCAGGTGCAGCAACACCAAGCAATGCGCGAATTTTACCATACACTCTTTGCTCGTCTTGAAAATTGTTCTCTTTTTCTGCCATTTTCAACTGCAGTGTACCTGACCATATTCAATTCAAGTGAACATATCGCTCACTGCTTAGGTATTTCACGGTTGCATATAATTGTAGAGGACAGTCTAACCTTTCCATACATGTATATAATATGTACAAATTTCGCTCAATTAAATGGTAAAAATTTACACTGATTAATACCTTGTAAATGCCTCTCGTATCTTTATTTTCTACTTGAATCTTTTTTAGCACAGTTATGGCCCCTTAATGGTCATTTTTTTAGTAAAATATGCTTGTCCGCGTTTTATCTGCAAAACCGCTGCGGGGATTTCAATGAAACTTCACAGGATTGTCTGTCACCATGCCTAGTTGTACATAGTATCTTGATTTTCCACTTGAATTTTTTTTCCGCACAGTTATTTGCAATAAATGATGAATTTTTTTAGTAAAATTTGTTTCAGACTATTTCTTCTACACTTCTTATGGAATTTCAGTTAAATCTTTTATGCCCCCGCCATATAATGGCTGAGGCATTTAGTGTTACCCTGTTCCCTCATTCTATCCTTCCGTCATTCCCTCATTCTGTCATCATCAGTTTCCGTTCATTACCTTAGTAACAGTGGCACACATTCAACTCAAATTCGACATATGGATATATCACGAGAAAATACACATCAAGTTCGAATTTGGTCATAGTCTGATGATTTTTGACAGAGTAATGCCCCTTGATGAAATTTTCAGTTTCCGTTCATTATCTCTCCAATGGTATTACACATTCAACTCAAATTTAACATATGGATACGTCAAAGGAATACGCAGGCCAAGTCCGAATTTGTTCATGGTTCCATGATTTTTGGCAGAGTTATGCCCCTTTCACTTTGAAAATGATATGAAATTTTCAGTTTCCATTCATTATCTCCCCAATAGTTGTATATATTCAACTCAAATTTAATATATGGATACGTTAAAAGAATGGGCAGGTCAAGTTTGAATTTGGTCATGTTTCAATGATTATTGGCAGAGTTATGCCCCTTTCACTTTGAAAATAATATGAAATTTTCAGTTTCCGTTCATTATCTTCCCAACGGTATTACACATTCAACTCAAATTTGAAATATGGATACATCAAAGGAATGCGCAGGCCAAGTTTGAATTTGATCATGGTTTGATGATTTTTGGCAGAGTTATGCCCCTTTCACTTTGAAAATATAATGAAATTTTCAGTTTCTGTTCATTATCTCCCCAATGGTATTACACACTCAACTCAAATTTAACATATGGATACGTCCAATGTATAGGCAGGTCAAGTTTGAATTTGGTCAAGGTTTGATGATTATTGGCAGAGTTATGCCCCTTTTACTTTGAAAATAATATGAGATTTTCAGTTTCCGTTCATTATCTTCCCAATAGTTGTACATATTCAAATCAAATTTATTATATGGATATGTCAAAGGAATACGCAGGTCAAGTTTGAATTTGGTCATGGTTCATTGAATTTTGGCAGAGTTATGCCCCTTTCACTTTGAAAATGAAATTTTCAGTTTCTGTTCATTATCTCCCCAAAGGTATTACACACTCAACTCAAATTTGACATATGGATACGTTAAAAGAATGGGCAGGTCAAGTTTTAATTTGGTCATGGTTCAATGATTATTGGCAGAGTTATGCCCTTTCACTTTGAAAATAATATGAAATTTTCAGTTTCCGTTCATTATCTCCCCAATAGTTGTACATATTCAACTCAAATATAACGTATGGATATGTCATAAGAATACAATGGTCAAGTTTGAATTTGGTCATGGTTTGATGAAAGCTGACAGATATATATATGACATATACATACATCTTAGGAATAAGCAGTTCAGGTTCGAATTTGGTTGTGGTTCAATGATTTTGGACAAAGTTATCTCTCTTGAATGTTGGAAAAATTTTGAATTTTCAGTTTCAGCACTCATACTTTTGTGAAAATGTATGTAGTCATTATTTTGGCTACAAATATGCAATATGCAATTTACAAAAGGTTAACACTGAATAGTTTCTGTGCCTTGAACTTTTGTATAAAAATTGTTTGTGTTTACATTGAAAAGTTTTAAGGGCTTTGAACTTAAAATGAAAAAAATTTGGAACTAAATATTGTAGCATCTGAAATTTTGGCTGCATGCGGGGGCATCTGTGGCTTGAGGACACATTTCTAGTTGGAATGATATTTATCAAAGGTGGTCGTGTGATATTTATCAAAGGTGGTCCTGGTATATTACTGGTATTTTGGCATACATTTCGGATTTTATGTCAAAGCTTTCTTTCGGGAGCATAAGTCACTTTTCAGTGACAGCTCTTATTTCTCATTAATTTTATATAACACATTGATGCAGTCTTGTATTCTCATTCTTTTTTTTGTACCCCCACAAATGGAGTTTAGGGGGGTATATAGGAGTCCGCTTTAATTTCGTTCAAAGCCTTGATAATGGCTGTGTTGTCACTCCTGTACTCAGCTTGTCGGTTGGTCCACAACATGGTTTCCAGACGATTACTAGAGTTTGGAATGTGGTATTGTAATCAAACTTGGTATATATCAACCTTATGGGGAGATCCCGGTTGATATTGCATTTGGACTTCCTGGGGTCAAGGTCACCATTACTAAAAATAGAGAAATGGTTTCCGGATTTGGATTGAGATATTGTAATCAAACTTGGTGTATAGCAAGCTTATATGGAGACCCCAGTTGGTATTGCATTTTGACCACCTAGGGTCAAGGTCACCATTTCTAAAAATAGAAAAAAAAATTCCAGGCAATAACTAGACTAGGTGTATAGCAAGCTTATATGAAGACCCCAGTTGGTATTATATTTGGACAAGTCAAAGTTGCTGGTGGGGGTGTGATAGGTCTAGTTGTTTTTATTTGTACAGTGCACTCCGGATACAACGAGATCGTCGGGACTTCGGATGATTCCTCCTTATAACCGGGTCTCGTTATAACCGGGACAGAACAAATTGAGAAATCCCACACCGTCCAGAATCATTTATTTCTACTTTCGCGTGCATCCTTTTTGAAGAGTATATAATGGGAGGTAACTCTTTGCAATCAGAAGTTTTTGTTTTATTTAAATATGCATGTTTATAAATATATCTAGGTATCATTGAATTTAAACAAAACATGAAAATTCAACCTACGTCTAACCGCGTGTGTTTTTTTATTAATATATTTATTTTAAACTTCGTTTTTAAAAGTCACGCAGTGCATTTCTCACGAACACCGAATAACACCGCAAGAAATTAGCCGCTTCCTTAGTGCTAATCAGTCAATGAAATTGTTTTGTTATGACATTTCGTCACCTTAAGGACAATTTAGCCCGGAGCGCTGACAAAACAAGGCTGGCACATTTGATCGCTAATTGCTCGACCCATTATCTCGTCCCGCGTCAATAATTTCTTCTTTAATTGACCCTTAGTATTGGTCATCATTGTTTTTCTCAAGGTGACAAACTAATGCAGACGAAGTGCAAATAAGTGACCTAGTTAAAATTCTGAAAAATACGCATGGGACGGCGAAATTATGTACGTTGTAACCGATATCTCGCTAAAACCGATCTCGTTATAAACGATAAAAAACAAGTAAAATGGTTTCCTGCCGTGAACATTTTAATGATATAAAGATATTTCATTTAACTATTTTCAACATTATTTGGGGGGGGGGGGGATAAATAAACGTTTGTATCAAGGATATAGTTGACAATAATCGATCAATATAGAAGAAGGTCTTTGGAAACTGGTGACCGTTGAAGACCGGAGAAGGTCGAACATAAAACGATTATTTCTTTTTAAGAAAATGATAAAATATGCCTACCATTTTATGAATAATTCCGAGCAAAAAATAAATAAAGTAAACACACAAGTTTACGCAGAAAATGTCTCTACAGTCGAAACTGTACTAACGGTCACCTCTTATCGGCGGTCACCTGACCTTAACGGCCATTTTGTGACGCTCCCGACGAAAACCACTCTATTTTATACGTCTTTTCAACGGTCACCTGCTGTCCGCGGTCAACGGTCACCTAAAATGCTTCCCGAATCTTAAAGTCGGTCATCTTAAGCGGTCAGCCAGGTGAAACGGCCACGCAATCTTCTGCGGTCAGCCAGATGAAACGGCCATGCAATCTT